AGAACCAGCTCCTTTCTTGCAAAGCCGCATCTGGGGCTCCCTCCATGGGGCTCTGAGTGGCCGGCTCCCATTGCTTTCCTGGACAGTGAGAAGACAGCACACCCTGCTGGCAGGCTGTGAACTTACTCAGAATTTTAGAAAAGAGACACCCCCTCCCCAGCCTCCTACAAAATCCCCAGCCTCCTACACCCCCCAGCCTCCTACACCCCCCAGCCTCCTACACACCCCCAGCCTCCTACACACCCCCCCAACATCCTGAGATTTTGTTATTCGGGTGCCATGGTTTACTGCGTCCAGGCATGGTGACATCCATATAAATCCCTGCTACTCAGAAGGCTGAGGCCTGAGAAACTTCTGTTAGTTGGCTACACAGCATGACCCTGAGTCAACAAAGCAAAGCAAAGCAAACAGCCTGTGTTCTAATTTTATTGGTTATTCAAATATTGCCCATTAGGGTGATCTCTGCCCTCACATTCCTCAACAGCCTATAATTCAAACACTGAGGTTTATTTGTTTAATGTTGCTGGGGTTTAAACCTAGGGTCTCACTCATTCTAGAAAGGCACTCTACCGCTGGACTATATCCTCTTCCCCTGATCCCAAGTCCTTTTATTTTGAGATAAAATTTCACCTTATCTCCACCAGGTACCCAGGCTGGACTTGAATTTATGATCCTCTTGCCTCTGTCTCCTGAGTGCTGGAACTATATTCACAGACTTTTTTTTTTTTAAACCTTTTGAGACAGGGTCTCAGTAGCCCACAATGGCCTTAAACTTGGTATATGGTTGAGGGAGACCTTGAGCCCTTAATCTTGCAGTGTCTGCCTTCGGAGAGCTGGATTACAGGTATGCATCAGCATGTCTAGCTCCAAGCTGACATTTTTATTATTATTTATGTGAGCCAACTGACGTGGGTCCAGGATTTGAACTCTGGTCCTCATCATAGAGTAGAAAGCACTTCTTTTTTTCTGAGACAGGGTTTCTCTGTGTAGCCCTGGCTGTCCTGGAACTCACTCTATAGACCAGGCTAGCCTCGAACACAGAGATCTGCCTGCCTCTGCGTCCCTCTGAGTGCTGAGATTAAAGGTGTGAGCCACCACTGCCCGGCTGAATAGTAAGCAGTAAGCACTCTTGAGCTGAGCCGTCTCTTCAGTATCTGTACTGACATTTAAAAATGTGTAAATAGCTACACAGAGAAACCCTGTCTCAAAAAAACCTAAATAAATAAATAAATAAATAAATAAATAAATAAATAATGTGTAAATTGAGCCGGGTGGTGGTGGCACATTCAAAGGGAGGCAGAGGCAGGTGGATCTCTGTTAGTTCCAGGCCAGCCTGGTGTACAGAGTGAGTTCCGGGACAGCCAGAGCTACACAGAGAAACCCTGTCTCAAAAAACAAACAAAACAAACAAACAAACCAACAAACAAAAACTTCCCCCCCCAAATTGTAAATTGTAGAAAGTCTCTTAATTTTGAGTCATAATTTGATATGGATTATGGGATAACACGTTGTCCTTTCTGGTACGCTGGACTTTTTAAAGACAGCCTGTGGCTGAGAAGGGAGAAAATGGAGACGTGGCAAGGCTCGAATCTCCTGGTTGCTGTGTGAGTTTGGGCAGACAGCTGTGCCTCTCTGGGTTGCAGTTTTCTTATCTGTAAAGCAGGAGTTGGACGAAAGCAGGCCGGATTTGAAGGAGTGATACCCGGTACCACACCCCCACTGACCAGTGGGGGACAGCGGGGAGGTACGAGGACAGATGGCTTTCCGATGTCCCAGGCCCAGGGCCACACTCACTCAGACTCTTCAGCTATCAGTGAGATGATGGGACAGGCCAGCAGGGAAAGCCCAGGGCAAGGACACAGAACTTGCCCACACTCGAAGGCCCCCACAGGGCTGAGTCCCCACAGCTCAGCGAGCTCTACCTCGGGTTTCTGTGTACACTCACACAAACTACAGCTTGTGCTGCCTGGAGGTTCCTGGGGTCCCCAGTGACCCGAGAAGAAAGAAAGGCTGCTTGAAGGAACCCGGACGAAATGAGAGCAGAGACACTCTGTGCCTCCTGATTGCGTTTGCCAAAGGCTCCGTGTCCATATCTGCTGCGGTCGGAACCCAGGCTCTACACATGCTAGGCAAGTGCTCCACTGCTGAGCTACAACCCAGCCCTCAATGTTAGGTTATATTTATCATTTCAAGGGAGTACGATGACATGGTTTCAGATGTGTCAAAAAAAAAAAAAAAAAGATGTAATTAACACCCACATACCCACTTCCAGCCACAGTGACCTTGGTGTTGCTCTCTGAAGTTTCCAGAAATATCTTTCTCTCTCTCCACCCCCACCCCCACTCCCAGGTTAGCAATATTCAGGATGTGTTTTCCCAAGTCAAAATTAACCTAATCTAGAAAATTCCTTTCGGGTGTGCCCAGAGGCTTATCTCCTGGGCAATTCTAGATCTGTCAAGTTGCAAATCAATGTTAACCGTGACAAAGCCTGTCTCACAGCAGGGTTTATGCTTCAAAGAACTCTAGAAAGCAGGAGTTTATTTCCAAGAATAAGTGAGGCCGGTGTTACTCATGAGAGAAATGCAAAGAAACCATAGCACTCACCCCCATCGAAGCTAGTACTGCAGCTTGAAAACCCGCTTCGGTAACCGGCGGCATGCATCGTTAGGTACCAGCAAGCATGCAGGACAGATGGCAGCCTCACACACTGAAGCTAAGTGACAACAGGCGCAGGTGCTTGAAAAAAATCAGATGGAGAATCAGGCTAGGGGTGTGGCTCAGTCAGTAGGGTGCTTGCCCAGCTTGCCTGGGACCCTGGGTTCCAGCTCCAGCTTACAACTGGATGTAGTGGCACATGCCTGTAATTCCAGAACTTGGGAGGTAGGGGCAGGAGGACCAAGAGATCAAATTATCCTTGGTTAATGGTGAATTTGAGGTCAGCCTGACCTACATGAAAGTCTATCTAGAAAAGAAAGGGGGTCGGGGAAGAAAGGAAGGAAGAAAATTGGATTCCAGTCTATCAGAGCTGGCACTCATTTCATTGTAGCTGTATTTGGAAATAAGTACATAGGCTAGCACTTGTCTTTAATCCCAGCACTCAGGAGGCAGAGGCAGCCTGGTCTGCATAGAACTTCTAAGACAGATGTTCTGTTATACTCATAGATAGGTGCCTAGTCCAGTCATCATCAGAAAGGCTGCCTCCAGCAGCTGATAGGAGCAGATGCAGAGACCCACAGTCAAACTTTAAGGCAGAAAAAGAGTCCAAGTTGGAGGTCTCTACTGGGTCTCTCCCCTTGGAGATTGGGAAACCCCAAAGAAGAGGGAGAGGAGGAATTGTGGGGGCCAGAGGGGTTGAGGACAAGGGGAGAGCATGCCCCAGAATTACTAAGCATGGCTCATAGAGACTGAAGAGGTAATCACAAAGTCTGCACGAGTCTGTGCTAGGCCCTCTGCAGATATGTTATGGCTGTTGGCTTGGTGTTTTGGGACAGTGGGAGTTGGGGTGTCTCTGACTCTTTTGCCTGCCATTGGGGCTCCTTTTCTCCTCCTGGTTACCTTGCTCACCTTTGATGTGAGAGTTTGTGCCTAGTCTTGTTACATCTTGTGCTCTTTCCTGGGAGCAGGGGCACTGGAGGGGAGGGACTGGGAGGAGTGGAGGTAGGGAAGCTTCAGTCTGAATGTACTGTATGAGAGAAGAATAAATAATAATAATAATAATTTAAAATGACATTCTAAGACTGTCAGGGCTACATACAGAGACCTTGTCTTAAAAAAAAAAAAAAAAAAAAAAAAAGCTGGGGCAGTGGTGGCACACGCCTTTAATCCCAGCACTTGGGAGGCAGAGGCAGGTGGATCTCTCTGAGTTCGAGGCCAGCCTGGTCTACAGAGCGAGTTCCAGGACAACCAGGGCTATATCGAGAAACCCTGTCTCAGAAAACAAAACAAAACAAAAGCACTATTAGCATGGCAAGCAAAAAGTGAAAACCCAGTGTCCGTCTAGAGTAAAACAGGTATCCATTAGCCTTGGCAAGGCCATGGGCATCAGTGACTTCCAAAAAAGTGAGTGATTCTTACTATTTAGTACTGACTTGAAGAGGCCGATCGCAGGGGCCTGGGGAGGTGGCTCAATGGGGAAGTGTGTGCTACATAACACTAGGGTCTGGCTTCAAAAGCTGGTGCGGTCACCAGTGTCTGCAGCCCCAGTGCTGTCGGAGGAAGAAACAGGAAGATTGCTGAGACCTGCCAGATGTTGGCCTGGCTTTGGCTCAGTGAGACCCCTTCTCAAGGGAATAAGGTGGACAGTGACAGAGCAGGACATCTGATGTCCTCCTCTGGCTTCCAGGCACATACACACACACACACACACACACACACACACACACACACACACACACACACACGAGAGAGAGAGAGAGAGAGAGAGAGAGAGAGAGAGAGAGAGAGAGAGAGAGAGAGATTTTAAAGAGCAGCTGGCTATAGGAGTGAATTCAAGCAAAACACAATGATATAAACATGTTTGATTTTTTTTCTTACACAGGGTCTCAAGAGGTAGCCCTGACTGTCCTGGAACTCAGTATGTAGATCAGGCTGACCTTGGACTCACAAAGATAATCCTGCCTCTGCCTCCTGAGTGCTGGGAGTAAAGTGTGTGCCACCATGTCCAACAAAACTCATTATTTTGTACACTAACGTTTTAAAAAGCCAGTTGCAAAGGAAAAGACTGGACAGCTTGTCTGATGTCAAATGCAAGCACAGAGAGAACTTACTAGTGGATGCAGAGGTGGGTTAATGCTTTCTTTCCAGAGAGGGTATTCAGAGTATGCTGGGTATAGGCGAGGTCCTGCCTGTGGAATCTGAGTACTTATTTACCTGGGTATGCAGAACTTCAAGCCATATATAACTCTACCAGATGTTTTTACTGCTGAACTTGTTTCAGAAACAGGGGGTGGGAGGCTTGTCAGCCCCCTGAAGGGGTGTGCCAGGTGAGACCAGTTGCAACCATGGCTGATAGCTTAAAGGTACCTCAGAAAACTGGCTGCTGTGTGTGTGTGTTGGGCGGGGTGTGTGTGTGTGTGACTGTGAGCAGAGCAGGGCATAGAGACTCCTGGATGCTCCAGCCACACCTAAGCTGCCATTAGCTCCGTGGGGAGATGTTGAGTCAGGGATTCTCTTCCTGATCTCTAAGACAATAGGACTCACCCTGGCCTTGACAGCGAGTGGACACCAGGCCTCCCGGGACCGCAGGGCACTGAGGATAGAAGTCTAGCCTTGTCTCATCAGTTTCTCCAACCTTCCAGGATCGACCACTCAAGACCACCTGTGCAGGAGACCCCAGCTACTACCCTGGGGAGGCTGCTGGCAGCTGCTGTTACCGCTGTCCCTCAGGTGAGTTGGGAACTGAGGGCAGGACACAGATTCCTTGTTTTGATGAATGATCCTCGTGGTTGATACACCTGGTGACAAGGTGGGGTTTGGGGTGGGCTGGATAGGAGCTCGCAAACACGGTCATGGTGGGGTACAGGTTTCCAAAGGCCATCCCTAATGTCACAGGGTCTAGGGAAGAGCAAGGCCACAGAACAGGCTAGGTCGCTGCTGCCACAAGGATGCAAGACCTCCTCTAAGCTTTTGGTGTTGCCTATGCAGGGCTCCAGCCAGGAGCACTCCAGCGGCCATGCTGATTTCCTTTGTCTCACTTACTGTTGTCTGAATGAAAAAAAAAAAAGAAATGGAAAGGAAAGGACGTGACTGCTCCTAGGGGTGGTGGAGGAGAAAGTTTGTTGTAGATAAAAGGGAGAGCATAGTCGGAGATGGAGACATTTGGGAGAGTCCAGAGTGGACATGACTCTGAGCCCGGCCATGTGAGGAGATGGGGGAGGGGAAAGGAGAGGGCAGACAGGGGAACCAGGGGCAGCAGCCAAGAGGGCAAAAGGTAAAAAAAAAAAAAAGGGGGAGAGGTAACCAAAATGGCTGGATGACACAGAGAAGAGCCACAGAGGAAGGGTAGCCCAGCCCCTGGCCTGGAAAGTTCAGGGTAGAGGATGGGGCAGGACAGCCATGCGGTGTAACAAGTCGGGATTGAGGGATGCTGGGAAAACCTGGTGGCCAGGTTCGTAGGCACCTCAGCCATGTGTCCCGGGTGTGAGACCCTAACATTGCCCCTGTTAGGCACTGATTCTGTTTTGCGGCTAAGGCCATTGGGGTTCATCGAGTCAAGTGACTTGCCCAGGGTCAGAGAGCTGAGGCACTGGCAGCACCGGCTGGGGTTGGAGCCCCGGAATTTGTGACCCCAGAATCTCAACGGCCAACCCCACTCCCCTCCCCGTGACCAGCTGTCATTTCTGGAGCTTGGAAACCCTTTGCAATTCATTTCCTTCTCACTCCCTCCTTCCTCTCCCCCACATGAAATTTTTTCATGTTATGTGTATGAGTGTTTTGCCTGCATGTATGTGTGTGCACTATATGTGTGCAGCTCTTGCATAGATCAGAATGGGTGTCGGATGCCCTGGAACTGGAGTTACAGGTGTTTTGTGAGTGCTCGGACTTGAATCTGGGTCCTCTTCAAGAACAGCAATTGTTCTTAACCACTGAGCTATATCCATGGCATCTTTTTTTTTCTTTTCTTTTTTTTTGTGATAGGGTCTCATAAAATTTCCCAGGCTGGCCTTTAATTCAATCTGTAGCTCAGGTTGGTCTTGAACTTGCTGTCCTTCTGTCTCAGCATCGTTAGTGCCGGGACCGCAGTCCACCACCTCTCCCTGACCTTTGCCATTCTTGTCTGCTCCAAGCCAGAACATGTGTTTGTCTCAGGGTGCTCCAGGCTGAAACTTTCTGGGGAACAGGGCTTGCCTAACCATTGCTGGCTTCCCAGAATGCTCGCCCACCCCTAGCACAGCATGAGTTCTGGTGGAACATCAGGAAATAATTCTGGAACGTTCTTCAGGTCTGAAGAGTAGAAAAGGGCTATGAAGCATTTTGGTCCCCTGTAACTATGGTCAAAAGTCCCAAACACATGTGGGGGCTATTGGTAGCTGGGGTATGAGGTGACGCTGTGGTGCGGTCTCTGAGCTCCAGGAATAGATGTCTATTTGGAAGAGACATTAGCTATGAAAGTTTCGGGTGGGTGGAAGTCTGTCACTGGCTCAGTGAACTGCCCCCTGCTTTTAGGACGGCAATGCATCTGAGGTAGGTCACTGTGTCTGGAGGGCTTCCTGTTGGTTTATGTACCCACTATTGAATCTTCCTAGGCACACTGTCTGGGGGTGGGGACAGGCAGTACTATATAAGGTCATTGGGGATGTGGCTGGGTCTGGGTAAGATTCTTGGACAGTTGTTCTTAGGCCTGTATTCTCTGAACGACTTACGAGATGGGACTCCAGCCTTTCACAGGCCACCAGAAGAAGTACTGGAGAAAGAACTTAATTGTGTCTACTCCCAAAAATGATTTCAAAATGTTTTTGTGGGTCTTGAGAGATGGCTCAGTGGTTAAGAGCACTGCGTGCTCTTCCAGAGGACCCAGGTTCAGTCCCCACACCCTTATTAGGCAGCTCACAACTGCCTGTGAAGTCCAGTGATAGGGGATCTGATGCCCTCTTCTGGTGACCTCTAAGGGCATCCACACACATGACATGCCCTCATAAACACACATACACAGAAATAAATAAAATCAAAATTTAAATGTTCCCGTGACCAGTCTTTTATGACAACTTGACAAGGTCCTGTTGCTAGAGTTTTCCTGCCTGGGCCACAGTCAGGACAAATCTCTGTCACCAGCCAGTCCCATAGCCGCTCAGACCCAACCAAGTAAACACAGAGACTTATATTGTTTAAACTGTTTGGCCTAATGGCTCAGGCTTCTAGCTATCTAGTTCTTACATCTTAAATTAATCCATTTCTATAAATCTATACCTTGCCATGTGGCTCATGGCTTACCGGCATCTTTACATGCTGCTTGTCATGGCAGCGGCTGGCAGTGTCTCCCTCCGCCTTCCTGTTCTCTCAATTCTCCTCTGTTAGTCCCACCTATACTTCCTGCCTGGTCACTGGCCAATCAGTGTTTTATTTATTGACCAATCAGAGCAATTTGACATACAGACCATCCCACAGCAAGGTCCCATGTAGTCTAGGCTGGCTTTGAACTTTGTGTATAGCAGAGGTTGGCCTTGAACTCCTGATCCTTTTACCTCTGTCTCCTGAATGCTGGGACTATAGGCCCGTACCACCATACCCAGCTTCTCTTGGGTCCCTCCTCTCCCCCTACTGCTCTCCCCCATCCAGCCTATCTTCCTCCCTATTCCTGTTTGGAGTCCTCCTGGCCATTACTTAACTCTGGTTAGAAAATGGAGAGCCAAAAGGCAGCGTTCTAGGGTGATTAGTTTCTGTCGAGGGCTCTTTGATCTTCCTGGCTTGCAGTCTGACCTGCCCACCTTCCAATGGTGTGCGCTCCCCTTTTCATAGAGCCCCCCCATCCTACGGGATTAGGGCTCCTTTATCTTTTTTTTTTTTTTTTGGTTTTTCGAGACAGGGTTTCTCTGTGTAGCTTTGCGCCTTTCCTGGAACTCACTTGGTAGTCCAGGCTGGCCTCGAACTCACAGAGATCCGCCTGGCTCTGCCTCCCGAGTGCTGGGATTAAAGGCGTGCGCCACCACCGCCCGGCTTCCTTTATCTTTAGTGAGTTCCTAAAACTGTCTCTCCAAATAGTTACATTGAAGCTAAGGATTTCATTGGGGGGGGGGGGAACAATTCTAGTCCACAGCATCTCCCTCCCCACATCCTCTCTCCTCATCTCTTTCCTTCACCCACCCACCGTTCAGGCCAAGGGCAAGTTCATTGCCTGCTCTTGAAAGAGGTCACCCCTTCCAGCTCCTTCTCCAGTTTCAGGCCTCTAGTCCTCTGGTTATGCCTGTCTCCTTCACCCCCGGATGCCCCTTTCTGCCATCTCAACCCTGTTGCAGCGGAGGAGACCCCACCTCTGGGAGCCTTTCTTTTTGCTTCAGGGGCCTGCCTCCCACACTAGGCGGTTTTCACCCTCCTGCCCACAGCAGGTGTGGCCACAGTGCGTTGTGACATTCCACGGCCACAGTTCCATCACAGAAAGAAAGACACCTCCATCTTACGCTTTCTCCACAGCTGAGACTCACAAAGAGGGGTCGCTCCTTCCTCCCACTTGCCCTCTCTAAGGCCCAGTGCTGAAGGTAGCCGAGCACCTCAGGTCTGTGTGGTGGGCGGGGCATTTTGCCGGAGTTTTATTAACCCTGAGCTTCCGGGCAAGCCACAAAGGAAAACCAAAAAACCCCCTCCTTCCGTGTTTTGGGGAAATTTCTGACATTTTGCCTGCCCTCTCAAATCAGCGCTCAGCTGTGTGGCAGGGTTTGCACGTGGGTGGGCTGGTGGAGGAAGGAAGCTGGGAGACCTTTGAATTTGAGAGGTCGTCCCATGTCTCTACTTACGTAGGCCCACAATGCCTTTCGACACTCCTGACAGCCACTCCCCAGTTCTCGGCTTACATACCCTTGGTGACAAGCTCACCCTGCCTCACACTGTGACCAACAGCACTTACGATGGAGCAGGGCACTACAGTGGAGGGCCTGGTCCTTTACCCACGTTAGCCCTGAACCTCGTAGGAACCCAGAGAGGGAGCTTGGACATGAGAGGGTTCTGAGATTTGTCCACAATCACCTGCTAGTAAGCTCAGCCTGGGCTAAAAGAGTCCTGAACCCTTATCCCTTCCTTCCAGGCCTTGTACAGGGTGGGGGTGGGGAAGAGTCTGGCCTCTCTCCAGCTTCTAAAACTCAGGAAGTCGGCAGAACATGGGTTCACCCAATATGAGCCAGGCCCTGCAACCGGGTACTCAGTGGTGGCTGGAAACAGAGACAACCATCCTGGAGACTCTGGCAGTATTTCAGGGAATTCAGATACTGAGTCGTGATTAAAGGGATATGCCACCAAGTCAGGCTCTTCCAGAAATCCAGCGGTAAAGCCAGAGCCTCTACGAGTGAAAACGCTCAGAGATGGCGCTGATTGGTTGGTGGTCATGTGCCCAGGTGGAGCCTATCACAGTTGGTAAGGAAGATGGCAAGCTCTGATTGGATCGGTCTGTTGGAGTTGAGCCAACACGATGAGAAAAATGAAGTGTTCTGATTGGTCCGCCGGGGTCATGTGCTCATTCTGTGACCAAGGTGTGGGAAACATACTTGAACAAACATGGCAGACTCTGGCAGAGCAGACAGAACCTTTTGGGGTGGGGGGGTGGGGGGGATGAGGTGGGGGTGGGGGGATGCCCACTTCTCATTTACCCCCCCCCCCCCCAGCGTCCTCAAAGAATGGGAGGAAGATTGCTGGGTGATTCCAGGACCTCTCAGTCAGCTTGGGTCAGGATCTTCATGGTCTTGACTCCCTCTGTTGAGAACGACAGCCAGTCTCAGCCTGTGCATGCTGACCTCACAGCCCCTTTAATCCGTTCAGTGCTAGGAGACACAGACCTTGTTAGTGCGAATGACGTCCCTGCAATTGTCCAAGGCCCCCCGTTGTCAGGGGGCAGCCCATCTCCACTGCCCTAGTGCTGGGGTCAAAGGCGTGAGCTTCCCATGTGCTGGGATCAAAGGCGTGATATCCCAAATGCCGGGGTCAAAGGTATGAGCCACCGTCACCGGGCTCTGTTTCTCTTTTAGACTGGTTCAATCACAGGTAGCACAAAGTGGTCTTGAACTCCTGATCTTCCTACTTCCTCCTCCCAAGTGTTGGGATTAAAGGCGTGTGCCACCACTGCCTGGCCTCTATGGTTAACTAGTGGCTAGCTCAGCCCTTGATCTCCAGGCAAGCTTTGTTTGTCAGAGCACAAACAAAATATCACCACATGGGCCGCTCCTTTTGCTGGTTAGTGACCTCTAGCGAGGCCCAATGCCTCCATCTGTAACACAAGAGTTATCTGATACAACCATGGGTTGAAGTAGAGGTGGGTGGGGTTTAGGTACGAGAGATGGAAGGTGACCTAGCCTAGAACTTCTCTGCTGTTTTTTCCAGGCTTGTCTCCAACACAGCCATGCCCACAGAGTCGTGCCCACTGCAGGAAGCAGTGTGATCCCGACCACTATGTGAATGAGGATGGGTACTGCACAGCCTGCGTGACCTGTTTGGAAGGTAAGAACCTGTCTCTCTCCCTGGACTGTGTCTTAAATGGAATCTGAGAGGCAGGAAGTATCAGGATTTGGTCCCCTGGCGCCTCCGTTTACCTCTCTGGATTTGAGAATTGCTATCAGCAGTTATCTTTTGCATCTAGACTTTTCAGAGAGACCAAGCATGCTCCCTGGAGGGAGGACTCACGTCTTCACAATGGCCCTAGGGAGCACCCTTTCCTTAGCTCATTTCTGTAGTGAGGAACCTGAGGATTCATGATGTGAAGGGCCTTCCTGGAGTTGCGACACTTGGTGAAGGGTCGAGGCAGAGTCTGAGCTGGTGGTCTGGCATCAAGAGCTGCCTTTCCCAAGACCTTCACCATCCCTTCCGGAGACTGCTATGCTTCCAGAAAAGTTCTTGAAACAGGTTCTTCTTATGTTGATCGCTTATGTTTAGTGAGGGGGTCTGGTGTTTTCTTTTGATTTTGTGGGGACTTGGGGGTGTGGTTAGGTTGGAAGATGTGTTGAGCTTTTTAAAAAGCCTAATAATCATATTTTTAAAAGTTTTCAGTGTCTTTTAAAAAATGTCTTTTGTTTCTTGCATACAAAGTTCTTTTCGTAAGGTTATATTTTCTTTCTAGTTGTGTGTGTGGATGTGTGTCTTTCTGCCTCCATGTTCTGAGTGCTGGGATCATAGGTGTGCACTGCGTGCTTGATTCATGCAGGGCTGATTCATGCAGGACTGGAATGGTAAACAGACCGGGCTTTGAACATGGTAGGCAAGCAGTGCTCTAGCCACTGAACCACCTCTCCATCCCCCTACTCCTGATCTCTTAAAACATGGGTTCCAGAGATGAAACTCAAGTCCTTATTCTTACATAGCAAGCGGCTTACCCACTCCACCATCTCCCTCAGAGGGGACCTTTTCATATTTAGACCCCAGTACAGGGGATGAGCTAGTATGGATATAGTGTTGCCAAGTCCGTCCCTCACCCTGATTCAGCTGGGGTGCCCATGCTGTGGGTTTTGGCAATGGACAGTGTGTGTCTGCACCCAGAACATACCGTGCACTTCCTAAAACTCCTTGTGCTTCTGGAACTTATCCTTCCATCCTTCACACCATGGCAACCACTGATGGCCCTCCTGCCGCTAGAGTTAGAACCTAATCTTTTGTAGGAGGCCCCTGACATGTACTTCAGTTCCCTCCATGTCCTGGGACATTTATTTTCGTATATATGCATGTTTGTGTATGCACACATGCATGTTGTGTGCGTATGTGGAGGCCAGAGGCTGGCGTCAGCTGTCTTCCTCAATCACTCTGCAACTTATTTTTTGAGACAGAGGCTCTCACTGGAGCTCACTGCTTCACCTACGTTGGCTAGCCAGCCAGCCCCAGGAGCCCTGTTTCTGCAGCAGACATGTGGGGCCCTGCTCAGTTCAGTTTTTCACATGGGTTCTGGGGATCTGAACTCGGGACCTTATGCTGGAAGAGGCAACACTTTACCCACTAAGCCATCTCTTCAGCCCCACCATTTGTAACCTCTGTAGTAGCGTGAGGGGTATGGGCTAGAGGCGAAGGCCACCCTCACACTGCCCTCTCACACATATCAGGAGATCTGAGGAGAGGTGCGGAGGGTCTTGTGGCATCTTACCATCATCCTGGACTGTCCCTGTGTTCCCTGGGTCCACGCCCTTGGCTTCCCTCCTCCCTTCCGTGACCCTCTCTGTGTCCCTCAGGTCTCGTGGAGAAGGCTCCATGCTCCAGGAACTCTTCCCGCCTCTGTGAGTGTCAGCCTGGCATGTACTGCAAAACGCCAGCTGTCAATTCCTGCGCCCGCTGTATGGCACACTCCCGCTGTCCTGGGGGGAAGGTGGTCAAGTTCCCAGGTGAGTGTCCCATCTCTAGCCCAGTTGCAACTGCTGCTGTACCTGCCACAGGCCCCCAAGTGCTCCCCCCTACCCCACCGTGGGACTGACAGGTCAAAACTTCTCTCAAAGCACTGCGATGTGCCCAGCACCCAGGGTTTCTGCTGCTCACATCTGTATCCCATCAGAGGTACTCAGCTGGCTGATGCCCAAGCATGAAGCGTGGTGCAGGCCTTTTTTGGTAACCGGTGTCCTTGGCATTTCTGGTTCCTGGCCTTGTGGGCTCTGTCTGACTGCCTGCATCACGGAATGCTCGGTACTGAGGGACACAGATCCCACTGTCTGCAGGCAGAGCAGGGAGCCTGAGGGAAAATGCTCCGCTGGGCCTCGGGCTTTAGCAAAGCTTTGCACCCGTGGGTTGGGCCGGTTCCTTCCGCTCTTTCTCCCCACCCATGTGATGAGGAGCCTTGACTTAGAGGCTTCTGGAGCTTTTCCAGCTCAGAAACTCTTTATTTATTTATTTATTTTGAAAAGTAGGTTCTGCTTAGCCTGTCAGGCAGGGCAGGGTCTGGCTCTCTGAGTGGTGTTCCTGAGACTGCCACATGGGGGCGACAGAGGCCTGTCTCTGAAGCGCTTGTCTTCGATCACACGTGACAAGGAATACTTAAAATGTGGCTGGTGGAGCCAGGTGATGGCGTACTCCTTTAGTCCCAGCATTCTGGAGGCATTGGCTGGTGGATCTCTGTGAGTTCAAGGCCACACAAAGACACTGGTCTAGGTTGAAATGTTCAGTGTATTTCAGTGGGTTTCAAAGACCTAATATGTAAGGGAGAATGTAATGTATCTCATTATATTTGAGATCGGATGTTGTTCTGTATCCCAGGATGTCACTATGGTGACAGTGAGGCCGGCTTCAAAACCGCAGCAGACCATCCGCTCAAAGCTGTCATACACTTTCTCCACAAGTATACCGTGTTTGCAAGGCAGACTCCATCAGCCCCTTTCTGTAACTGGTGGCAGTTGAGTAGCCCAAGAACACAGAGAACGTCCACTTCCGGTCATGACAGGCGCACTCTGCTGAGCTTTGTCAACGTTGACCCACTGCCGACCTTGCTGTGGTCACCTCCACTGAAGCCTTTGGGCTTCTTCTAACCCATGTGGGTCCGTTTCTCAGCGATGAGATCGGAGTTGAGGTGTGGAAAAGGACATGCTGTTTGTTGAGCACTAACTGTTTACTACATAGTATGACAGACTCATTTACAGGCTGTTGTTTTTGTAAACAGCAGCCTGGCGAGGCTTGTGTTATGATCACTTGACTAGTAAGGGTCTGGTAGAGATGGAGGACAAGCTCAGGGGCGCGTGCATGTGTGTGTGTGTGTGTGTGTGTGTGTGTGTGTGTGTGTGTGTGTGTGTGTTACTTTACATTCTGTTCTTGGGACTCCTTGGATCTCAAATAAAATTTCCAGCTTTGGGGTACCTATAATGAAAGTATGGAGAATGGTACTGAGTGGCTTGAGGTATGGCTGAAGCTAGGGACTCTGTCTTTTCCCACTTCTCACTTACATCTGTGTTGTTTTGTTCGTGAACTGGTAAGTAACCAGCAACCATAGGTCTGCCCCCTGACCAACCCAAGTGGAGGGATAGGGTCTCCTCACTCTAGAGCGAGCAGATGCTGGGAAAGCCACCATCTCTGGATGGCCGCTGTGTTTGCCCAGTACCTCATCTATGACTTTGCTTATGGAGGTGACAGCTCTGCTCCTGGGGACTCTGGGTTCCTCGGTGTCTGTTCTGAAGCCATTGTGGTCCCCATTGCAGGCACAGCGGAGAAGGACACCATCTGTGAGTTTCCTTCCCCAGGATCTGGCCCTGATTGCTCCAATCCAGATGACTGCAAGACACTTACTAGGTGACTCCTGGCCTCCCTTCTGTCCCCCTCCAGGCGACCTTTGGATGGACAACTCTGTCTCAGGGACACATAGGGTGCATGGGTGGGGTCAGCCCAGGCTGACAGGGCTCCAGGGTGGTCCACTGCCAAGCTCACGCTGCTGTGTGTCTAGCCCTGCCTGTTGTACATGAGAGACCCAGGAGGCCTAGTGAACACAGCTCTTGCTCTCAGGAGCTCATAGCAGGGCCTGTCAGTGCTGAGGCAGGAGCCTTTCTCCACAGACACTAACCCCCAAGCCCAGACCTCCGTGGCTTGTGGAGTCATCAGACCTATATCTGGCTTCTTCTCCAGCCACGACACTCCTCAGGCCACACCTACTCTGAAGTCCCTACCCACTGACGGTATGAGGAGCACCCGCCTTGTGCAGGAAGATGCTGCTGGACTGTCGCATGTTCCAGAGTCTCCCTCTTCCCAGGCAAGGGAGCCCAACCCAGACCCAGGTACTGTTTACTTGAAGCTGTGGCAATCTCCCAGGGGGGTGCTATCTGATGAGGGGACCTAGGTGCCCACTGGGAACACAAGAACATCTCTAGGATACAGCTCCTGAGGCCAGAGGTCCTGCAAAACCTATTTCATTCCCAGAATGTCTTGAGTGTCCTGCGTGCTAGGGTCTGGGACAGGTGCTGGGTGTCCCTGCCCTGTACTCAGGATGCTTGTGATAGAACAGGTGGGCTCTGCCTGTGGCCCCAAATGTCCTCCTCATGGCTCCCATGATGGAGGAGCCTGCTGCTGCTTCCCCCTCTAAGAAACTGAACAGCGTGTGCTGTACGGATTCACCACGATGGCTCATTCAAGTGGCTTTTAGAGGTTGGGGATGTTTCCAACCTGGGGCTCGGGGTTACACACAGTAATAAATCTGTGTGTGTGTGTGTGTGTGTGTGTGTGTGTGTGTGTGTGTGTGTGTGTGTGTCTGTGTGTGCCTGTGTACAGGTGCTCATGCCTGCCCACGTGGAGGTCAGAGGTCAACCTTGAGAGTCTGTAGGAGCCATCCATCTTGTTTTTTTGAGACAGGACCTCCCGTTGGCCTGGGACTCCGCAATTAAGTTAGGCTGGCTGGCCAGCGAGTCCTCAGGACCCACCTGTCTTCTCCTCCCCAGCACTGAGGTTACAAGTGCGCTCCACCATGCCTGGCTTTGTATCTGGCTGCTGGCGGTGAACTTGGGTCCTCAGACTTGGGTGGTAAGCGCTTTCCAGATGGAGCCATCTCCCCAGGGAGACGGTGAACTTCACAGGAATGGAATACTTGTATACTCCATGTGTTTGGCTTTCAGCCGTAGGACGGCTCTTGAGTCTGGCTTCAGGCCTTCCTCTGTGGCTGTGCTCAGAGCACCCTCTTGGCCTTTGAGGGAAATGTTAATTCTTAGGGTGCCTTTGTCGTTGGTGGTTTTGATCTTATTTTGTCTTTGTTTTTTTGAGAGAGGGCTTGCTATATAGTGCTAGCTGGCTCAAAGTTCATTATGTAACCCAGGTGTCTGTTTTTTTTTTTTTTTAAAGAAATCTTTTTTTTTAAAGATTTATTTATTTACTATGTATGCAGAAGAGGGTGCCGATCTCATTACAGATGGTTGTGAGCCACTATGTGGGTGCTGGGAATTGAACTCAGATCCTCTGGAAGAGCAGTCGGTGCTCTTAACCTCTGAGCCATCTCTCCAGCCCCTCCGTCAGTTTTTTTTAAAAATCATCTTCTTATAAGCTAGATTCATTTGAAAAGAGGGCACCTCAATTGAGAAAATGCCCCCACCAGATTGGCCTGTGGGACATTTTCTTGATTAAAGGTGTACCCTGCCCACCATGTCTGGCTGTTTTTTTTGGGGGGGCGGTTAAAAAGCTTAAAAAAAAACAAACCTGTAACTTTACCAGGTCTGATGGTGCACGCCTTTAATCCTAGCACTTAGGAAGCAGACGCAGGTGGATCTCAGTGAGTTTGAGACCAGCCTGGTCTACATAGTGAGTTCCAGGCCAGCCAGGGCTACATAGTGAGACCCTATTTCAATCACCCACTCATCCACTCACCCACCTCCCCAACTAACCAACCAGCCAAACAACAACCTGTAATTTCTTATGGCCAATGCAAAAGTCAGTTGATTTTTTTTATGTAGTGACTCATAGCGTGCCTTCCATCTGTGTAACAAGAATACCGTATCTGACCAACTTTATAAGGGGAAGGGGCTCTTTCTAGCTCTCAGTTGGGGAGATTTTGGTCTATAGTTGCTTGGGCCTGAGGCAGCTCATCTCCGCAGAAGCTGCTACCTCATGGCAGCCAAGGAGCACAGAGGGAGGGAGAGGAGAGGCAGGGTCTCTTTCATGCACGTACCTCTAAGGACCTTTCTCCCTTCCACTGGGCTCCACCTTCTGAAGCTCCGCTGCCTCCCAGTAGCATGATGGGCAACTGCAATATTCATCAGAGTTCCTTCCCTTCCCTTCACATTGTGTGTGTGTGTGTGTGTGTGTGTGTGTGTGTACATGATGCATGTGCCACAGTGTGCATCTGGAGGCCAGAGGATGATTTGTGGGAGTTAGTTCTCTCCTGCCGCCATGTGGGTCCCAGGGATCCAACTTAGGTCTGTTGTGCTTGGCAGGAAGCACCTTTACCTGCTGAACCATCTCTCTGGCCCTTAGACTTCTTTTAAATAAAAGCAGAAGCTGCTGGGTATCATTCCCATGCAATCGCAGCCTCTCCAATTTGATTTTTTAGAACACAATCCTGATGGCCTTTGCCAGCTGTAGCCAAGATTTGTGTGTTACAGAGGACTACCACCCACTGCTTCCCACTGCCTCTCACTGCCTCTAATGCTTCCCACTGCCTCTCACTGCCTCCCACTGCCTCCTAATGCTTCCCACTGCCCCTCACTGCCTCCCACTGCCTCCTAATGCTTCCAACCGACTCCCACTGCCTCCTAATGCTTCCAAATGCTTTCCACTGCCTCTCACTGCCTCTCACTGCTTCCTAATGCTTCCCACTGCCTCCTACTACCTCCCACTGCCTCCTAATGCTTCCAACTGACTCCCACTGCCTCTCACTGCCTCCTACTACCTCTCACTGCCTCCCACTGCATGCTGGTCAAGTCTTTCCTGGAGATTGAAAGTCTCTGGCACTGATTCTAATATGTCATCATCCCCATAGATAATGCAGAGATGAATATGACCTTGGAGCTGCCACCTCCAGGGACCCTCCCTGATTTCAGCACCTCAGGAAACAGCGAGGAGCCTGCCAGGTGACTCCTAACCCCTCCTGTAGGCAGGGTGGAATGGCCCCTAGTGTGCTCAGGTTATGCCCGGGGTAGTCTGGCCTGGAGGTGCAGGGGCGTCAGGTAGGGTTGGGGGTGGGGCATGACTGTGTGTCTGTCTCTATGATGACAGGATTGTAAAGCCAGAAAGTGTAGAAACTTAATCCCTGCCCCCACAATGCCTGACAAGATGGTGCCGATGTTCTGGGTTCTCAGGCTCTCTTTACCTCTCTAGAGGAAGAATCACCCTTCATTAGACACACACCCCTTTTGCATGGAATTGTGTTTGTCATCCTGTCCTGGGTTTCCTTTGGTACAGTACCGCCTCTACCCAGAGCCTCCTGGGAGATGCCCAGACCAGCAGTAGGATGCAGCCTACCTCTCCCTTGTCCACAGGAACACCCTTTCTGGATCCAGGTATTGATTGCTCATTGTCCAAAGCCAGGGGCAGAGCTGGGGTGGGGGTGGGTTCCTTCCAGGGCTGTGGCCCGAAATAGGATATGGGAGTAGAGATTGAGCCCAACTTTCTGGCTTCTAGAACTGACCTATAATTGCTACACAAAGTGTAGTTGCTAGGCTGGGGGTGTGGCTCAGTTGGCTGAGTATTTATCTAGAATGCTGAAGACCCTGGGTTTGATCTCTATCAGGGTATACATGGGGCTTAGTGCTGCATGTCCATAATCCCAGTGGTGAGCACAGTAGTGTACGTCTGTAATCCCAGTGCTGAGAGATGGAGGTAGGAGAAGTTCAAGGTTGGGCCAGTGACATGGCTCACTTGCCATCTGCCCTGCCCAAGGATTCAAGGACCTGAGTTTGGTTCCCAGAAATTATGTAGAGGTGGAAGGAGAGAACTGATTTTACACACCTAACCTAACCTAACACACACACACACACACACACACACACACACACACACACACACACACACACACAAGGAAAATTCTTTAAAACCAAACAAAACCCTCTAAGTATGGTGGCACATGCTTTTAATTCCAGCACTCAGGTGGCAGAGGCAGGCAGATCTCTCTGAGTTCAGAGCCAGCCTGGTCTACATGTTGAGTTCCAGGTCAGTCAGGGCTACATAGTGAGATCCTGTCTCAAGAAAAAAAAAATTAGTTGGTAAAGGTCACCTTCTGCCATGTAGCCAGTTCAAGGTCAGCCCGGGCCACATGAAATCCTATTTAAAAACAAGTTATTGAATGAGTTACTGAATGATTAGGAGCTTAATTCTTTTCATCCTCCGTTTCCTCAGATGTAAAATGGAAAGCGAGTAGGCACCCAGGGTTGTCAGCATATAGCACATGTATGGTCTGCATATTACCGGAGCTGGATAGAGGCAGTTGCTGTTCATGCTCATGAGGTTAACACCAGGCAATTGGTTTTAGGACTAGCAGTACTAGTTATGGACACAAGATGGCGATAGTTCTCAAGTTAACAGTTCTCAGTGTGGCATAGAAAAGTCTTTGAGGGTTGGGGCTGTGGCTCAGTTGGCAGAGTGCTTGCCTAGCTTGCCAGAGGGCCTGGGCACCATCCTCAGAGCCACATAAGCCAGGTGTGGTAGTACAAACCTGTAATCCCAGCACTGAGGAGGTGGAGGTAGGTGATCCTGAGATCCCTATCATCCTTGGCTACGCAGCAAGTTTGAGGCTACCCTGGATCTTGACCCAATATCTAACAAAGGATACTTGAGCACTTAACACCTGAGACCTGTACCCAACTAGCAACTGAATAATTAAGATCACCAGAGCAGGCTGTGTAAGGGCACGGGCATGGTCTAGGCTAGGTTCAGGGGTAGAAAGCACTGGCCTCGTATGTATTAGGTTGTGTTTGATCCTTGTTATTGTGTAAAAAGGATGTGGGATACTGAAGTCGCCTGGCCTGGCCTGGCCCGGGTGGTGACTCTCAAGGTGACTTTGGACAAGCTTCAGTTCCCTCCTTTGGCTTTGAAAAAGAACCCATTCATTTATGTGTGTGGGTGTGTGAGTGTGTGCATGCCCATGCCGTGGTGTATGCGTTCAAGTTAGAGGGCCACTTCTGTGGGGTTCCCTCCTCCACCTTTATGTGGTCTGGATACTGAACTCAGATCCTCAGGCTTGCAGCAAGTGCTGTACCCTCTGAGCCGGCCCACCAGTCCTCCCCTGTTTTAACGGCGAGAACACGTGCTGTGTGTGCATGCTGTGTGCACAGCTGACCCTGAGCCTGCCTTCGGCAGCTGACAGTCTCAGAGAGTTTTCCTAACCAGCCTCCGCCCTCCCTATCCCAGCTAGCCATGGCTCTCAGCCTTCTGGAGTTCAATTCCTTCTTTATTCTGGCTCCTTTTTGTTTGTTTGTTTGTTTTATTTTACTTTGATATGGGGTCTCACTATGTAGCCTTGGCTGGCCTGGAACTAGCTGTGTAGACCAGGCTAACCTCAGACTCACAGAGATCCACATACCTTTGCCTCCCTACTGCTAGGATTACAGGTGCGCACCACTCAGGCCCGCTTCAGTATGATTCCTTGATGTCTTCATTTCTCACCCTCTGAATGGCTTGTTTTTCTTGCTTTCTGAGTTAGCTGATCAGCTTCCTGGAGCCAGATGAGGGAAGGCAGGCAGGTAAGGGCTGAATCAGATAGATGGTCCAGCTTGGAGAAGGTCCAGAACTGCTCACCTCAGTGGGACACATGTCCCCTGAGAAGGAGGAAGTGGGCTGTGCCTAGGGCTGTCCTGTGCGGTTGCAGGGAAGGACCCTGGCTCCTCGCTGTCCACAGAGTACAGGACGGCACTGTGTTTCAGGGCCCATGCTCTTCTGGGTGGCCATGGTGATGCTGCTGGTTGGCTCCAGCTGTTTCTTCCTGTGTTACTGGAAGGCCTGCAGGAGGCAGATCCAGCAGAGTAAGTGTCTTGGGGTCCAGGGGAGGGTGGGCTGCTTTATGCCGGCCTGGTCTGAGGGTCTGCCCTGCCTGCCCCTACCCTGCTGCTCACCCTCTGAGCCCCACTCCTGGTATCTCTGCAGAGTTCCACCTGGACTACCTAGCCCAGACCTTCCAGCCGAAGATGGAGCAGGTGGGTGAGTATCTGGTGGTGCAAAGGACTGCCTGGGCCAGGATGGACGGGCACGCGACCTGACCATGGTAGGCTCCGGGGCTGGGCCGACTCACACCAAAACACTGTCCACCGAGGGCGTTTTGGGTTGGAGAAGTTTCAGAAGTACAGGCTCGTACCTCCTCAGCACTCCCCAGTCGAGGGGGTTTTTGTATTTTGATGGTTTCAAGCTTGTTTCCATGAGCTGTCAGCACGGCTCATTGAAACCGGTGTTTGCTTTCTTGACATTTTTCTAGTATTAGAGTTTCCATTGCCGTCAGTTCTTTTTTTTTTTTTTCTCTCTAAACATTCGTGAGAACAGTTTTGTTATAACGAGAAAGACAGGAAAAAAAAAAAAAGACAAAAAAAAAAAAAAACCAAAAAACACCTGAAGAGGCTAGGCTTGCAGGCAACTGAGTGAGGCTGGGGTCAATATTGTGTCTGAGCCTGGTTCTGGACCTCCGGCTTCCAGTAGGTCCCTTGATGTCTGGGCCTCAAGGGCTGAAATGAGAGGACGTTTAAGTCAGAGTGAGCACACAGGGTACAGGTGACCATAGCCTAGGCAAGGGTGGGCATGGCCCGGGCAGCTTGGGCCTGAGCAGGGTGGGCATGGCCAGGGTAGGGTGGGCATGGCCCGGGCAGCTTGGGCCTGAGCAGGGTGGGCGTGGCCAGGGTAGGGTGGGCATGGCCCGGGCAGCTTGGGCCTGAGCAGGGTGGGCATGGCCAGGGTAGGGTGGGCATGGCTAGGGTAGGGTGGGCATGGCCAGGGTAGAGTGGGCATGGCTTGGGCAGTGTGGGTCTGTCCTGGAGTAGTGAGTCGTAAAGGAGAATTTATTCACTTTACTGCTGTCGTCGTGAGCACATCTTCAGCACAGGCTTTGTCTGGGGATAGGCTGTCCTAGATCTTCCAACCTTCCAGACAAGTGTGGCAGCTGGTTAGAGTGGACAGCCAGTGGGACAGGCATGTGTGTTCCAGCCCCACTCACTCCTCCTCTGCAGGGAGACTCTTATTCCCCTAGTGGAGGAATAAGAGCAGGGACCAATGGTCTATACAGGTACAAGCAGGTGCTTGTCACCCGTCACCCAAATTGTCCCCAACATTAATTACGGCAAGTGTCCTTGGTACCTTTTCAGGCCAGACATCATCTCATTTTACTACTGGGGTGGCCTTTTCAGCACCCCCACCACTGCCTTCGTTTCCCAGATGAGCTGTGTGAGGCCCAGGAAGATGAGGTCAGCTAACAAAGGCCACACGGGAGCCGACAACAGGGTGGAGATCTGCTGTTGCTGTCACCGCGCTTTCCACGAACAGGGTGTCTCATCCTCAGCACTGCTGACATTTGTCAGTGGACACTTGTTTACCGGAGAGAGCTTGAGCTGGGCACTGTAAGATGTTTAGCAGCCTGCCACATGCCAGGAGCAGCCCTCCTCAGCTGTGACAGAGCCCAGAGTGTACCTAGGCAGTCAGCCCATCATTTTATTCTATTTTTAATTAATTAATTTTGAGACAGGGCCTTTTGTAGCTTAGGCTGACCTCAAACTTGCTCTGAGATGACCTTGAACTTCTAACCCTCTTGCCTTTGAAGTACTCAGATTACAGGAATCCTGCTGACATGCCTAGTTGATGCGTAGCCAGAGATTGAACCCATGGCCTCATACATGCTAGGCGAGCACTCTTCAACTGAGCCATATTCCTAGCCTTCAGTCCTTTCCCTCAATCCTCATTTTAACATACACCTGAATACCTTGACTGTTTTTTGAAATTACTCTTAAGGATGTGTGTATGGGGGCAGGGGTGTGTGTGTGTGAGTACAGTTGCCTTCAGGGAGTTACAGGTGGTTGTGAGCCACTTGACACAGGTGTTAGGGATTGAGCTAGAGTCCTCTTGAAGAACAGTTTGTGCTTTTTTTGTCATTTTTCTTTGTTTCTTTTTTTTTTTTTTTTTTTTTTTTGTTTTTCGAGACAGAGTTTCTCTGTGTTAACAGTCCTGGCTATCCTGGAACTTGCTTTGTAGACCAGGCTGGTCTCAAACTCACAATGATCCACCTGCTTCTGCCTCCCCAGTCCTGGGATTAAAGGCGTGCGCCGCCACCGCCGCCGCCACCACCACCGCCACCGCCACGGCCACCGCCACCCGGCGTTTTTTCTTTTTTAAAGGCAGCGGTTCTCTGTATCCCAGGCTATCTCAGAACTCACCTTGTAGACAAGGTTGGCCTTGAACTCACAGACATCTACCTGCCTCTGCCTCCTGAGCCGGGACTAAAGGTGTGTGCCACCAGGCCTGGCTAAGCAGTAGAGCTCTTAACCATGGAGCCATCTCTCCAGCCTCTCTCTTGCTGTTATCACAGGAAGATGGAGGCTAAAAAAATTGTTTTGCTCTGATGGAATTTCAGATTTCTAGACGTTGTAAACACAGTACAGAGAACTTACCTCTTCCAAAACGGTTCTGGGAGTATCTTATCAGGCTCGATTTCTTATCACCTTTGAATACCTCCCTGTGCATTTCATAATAACCAGGGCACTGCAATAAGACCATCAGAATCAGAGAATTCAGCCTGTTCCGTTACCACCAGTCAGTGCTCAGGCCAGTCTGTGTTTGCTTGTTTGTTTGATATTTCTTCTTTTTTTTTTTTCCCCTGGTTTTTGAGACATTGTCTCTCTGTGTAGCTCTGGCTGTCTTGGAACTTGCTCTGTAGACCAGGCTGGCCTTGAACTCACAGAAATCTGCCTGCATCTGCCTCCCGAGTGCTGGGATTAAAGGTGTGTGCCACCACACGTGACCAGGCTGGGTTTCTTGATGTGTCCCAATAATGTCTTTGGCTTGGATCCCATGCTGCCATTGGTAAGCAGCTCTGTGGGGTTCCCTCTCATCTGGGTCATTTCCAGGTTCTTCCTTTGGTATCACAGCCTTGACACCAAATAGAGTCATGAGCTGATCCGGACTGTGGTCCTGACCTTGGCTCAATCTAGTATTTCACTGAAAATGGACTTGGGTGTCAGTCTTTGACACTGGGCTCTTTGGGGAGCTTCGTGGGAGGCTTCCATCTGTTGTTTTTCTGATGCTTGGAGCATTCTTGTGTGGGAGGCCAGCTCCCACCTTTAAAGGGTTCCTATGAGGAGGAGAGAGGAATAAGAAACGTTTAGAGAGGTCGGGCAGTGGTGGCACACGCCTTTAATCCCAGCACTCACGAGGTAGAGCCAGGTGGATCTCTGTGAGTTTGAGGCCAGCCTGGTCTACAGAGTGAGTTCTACCAAAACTACACAGAGAAACCCTGTCTCATAAAAACCAAAACCAAAAAAAAAAAAAAAAAAAAAAAGAAAAGAAAGAAAAACTTTTAGATAGAAAGATAGCAGAGAGGAGACAGACAGAAACACAGAATAGCTTCGGGAGGACCTGGGTCAAAATTCACTGGCTCCTTCTGCCCCTTCAAAAGGGCTTTATAACAATGCCAAGGGGCAGGGCAAAAGACCTAGATCAAAGCACACTGCACAGCCAAGTGCAGGCCCTTCCAAACACCTGGTAACCACACTCCTGGTCCAATCATCCTCTTATGCAGCTCTGCTGGGTAAAGCGAGCTCAGATTCTCGGACCCTGAGTAAGTTCTCACGAGGAAACCTCTGTGGGTCTCTACACTCTTTTTTTTTTTTTTGGTTTTTCGAGACAGGGTTTCTCTGTGTAGCTTTGTGCCTTTTCCTGGAACTCACTTGGTAGCCCAGGCTGGCCTCGAACTCACAGAGATCCGCCTGGCTCTGCCTCCCGAGTGCTGGGATTAAAGGCGTGCGCCACCACCGCCCGGCTCTCTACACTCTTGAATGTCCATCCGCCAGGCTGCACCTGATAGTGACTTGACTGTTGAAGGAGGGTTTTGAGAGTGTGTCAATAACCTGTCCTGCTTTCTGTCACGCTTTTGTTTCCTTGTGAGTGTATTTATGTCTGTGTGGATTCATGGTTTCTGTCACTTTTTTTTTTTTTTTTTTAGTTTTTCGAGACAGGGTTTCTCTGTGTAGCTTTGCGCCTTTCCTGGAACTCACTCTGTAGATCAGGCTGGCCTCAAACTCATAAAGATCTGCCTGCCACTGCCTCCCGAGTGCTGGGATTAAAGGCGTGCACCACCACCGCCCGGCTTCTTTCACTATTTTAATGTTGCCATCATTGTAGCAGACTCTTGGTCACTACCCCAGAGCTGGGAAGCAGGAATCCCTCAGGACACATTCTTGTCCTCTTGAATTGGCAATACCTTTTTTTGTTTGTTTTTGATTTTTTGAGATAGGGTCTCACATAGCTCAGGTGTCCTCAAACATGTCATCTAACTGAGACTAGCCTTGAACTTGTGTCTTTTTTATATATTTTTTGTTTGTTTGTTTGTTTGAGACCGGTTCTCACTCTGTAGCCATGGCTGGCACGAATACAGAGACCCACCTGCTTCTACCTCCCAAGTTGCTGGGGCTCCAGATGTGTACCATCACGCTCTTTTGAATTGTTGGGGATTGTCCTCTTTTCTGGAGCCCTTCCAGGCTGTCTCTCCACCTCGGGAGCCCATTGACTATGCCTCTGGGTTCCCAGTTGCAAATTTCTACCCTGGGGCTGTCCTGCCTCTGCATCTGTAGTGGGAGTGACAGGGAGAGTTTAGCGCGGCGTTTGGAACACTCAGGAGATGCCACCCCGGGGCCACCGCAGTACAGAATGTCCTGGACTTGGATCCTAGGCTGCCGGATAGATTTACGAGAATATTGTGATTATTCCAAAAACAAGGAAACTGACAAATGAGGACCGGCAGGCTAAAGCTGTGGCTTTAGGGGAAGAGCACTTGGGCAATCTGAACTCTGCCCTTGGCAGGATCTGCTTCGGGTCTTCTTCAGGGAACTCATGGTTGTAAAGGGCTGTTGATAGATGCCGGGGCCTATTAGATCCTGCCTTTAAATTTTTTTTTTAAACTCAATTAATTAATGTATATTTTGGCTTTTCACTCTGCCTCCTGAGTGGTAGGATCAAAGGCGTGGGCCATCACCTCCTGGATTAGATTCTGTCTTTTTTTTTTTAAGACCTTGACGTTAGTGTGTGCTTGTTTCTGAGAATTGGAATCTATATTTTCTTTCTCCTGTCATAGAGTGTCTAAGCTGTGGCAGCGTCCAGGGGGTCACACGGGTGTCCTGAGCACCTTCCCTTGGCAATAATTTAACTTGAAAAAGTTCTAAAGAGACTTCACGTTTTTTGTTGTTTGTTTGTTTGTTTGTTTTTTTCTCTGTGTAATAGCTCTGGCTGTCCTAGAACTCATTTTGTAGACCAGGCTGGTATAAAACTCATAGAAATCCATCTGCCTCTGCCTCCCAAGTGCTGGGATTAAAGGTGTACGCCCAGCTCAAGACTTCACTTTTTAGAACTCTGTTCCTTTCGTCCTGAGTGCTCCCTGTCACTCCCCCAGCAGCTGCGGGAGGCAGGACAGCCCCAATGTAGAAGTTTGCAACTGGGAACCAGGCAGGCTTAGTCAGTTGGCTCCCTAGGTGGAGAGATGACCTGAAAGGGTTCTAGAAAAGAGTACGGTTGTCAGCGTCTCAAAACAGAGCATGGTGGTACACACCTGGAGCCCCAGCACTTGAGAGACAGAGGCAGGTGGGATATGCCTTTAATCCCAGCAGAGGCAGGTGGATCTATGTGTGTTCATACAGCCCAGGCTACATAGTGAGAATCTATTTCAAAGCCAAATGTGATGGTACACACTTGCAAGGTGAGACAGTAGGATCAGGAGTTCAAGGTCATCCTCAGTTCGTTACCAGTCTTACTTTCCTCCCCAAACTGAGAAAATAATGGAGTTCCAGTGTGCCCATGCCCAGCTGATTTTATTATTGACCTCTTATATTAGAGTGGTACATTTACCACAGTTGAATAAATAAACAGTATTGTTTTAATTATTAATTAATTAATTATTTATTTTGGTTTTTCGAGACAGGGTTTCCCCGTGTAGCTTTGAAGCCTGTCCTAGAACTCGCTCTGTAGACCAGGCTGGCCTTGAACTCACAGAGTTCTGCCTGCCTCTGCCTCTTAGTGCTGGTATTAAAGGCGTGCACCACCACCACCCTGCTGTTTTTAATTTTTAAAATATGTATATGGGCATTTGCTTGTATGTCTGTAACTGCTCACATGCATGGTGCCCAGTAAGGCCAGAAGAGGGCGCTGGATCCCTTGAAATTGGAGTTTAAAAGGTTGTGAGCCACCATGTGGGTGCTGAGAATTGAATCCCAATCCTCTGGAAAAGCAGCCAGTGTTCTTAACCTCTCAGCCATCTTTCTAGCCTCAATGTATCATGATTAAGTAACAAAAGCCACACTTCATTCTTTCTTTACTTGTTTCTTTTTTTTTTTTCCAGAGCTGAGGACCGAACCCAGGGCCTTGCACTTGCTAGGCAAGTACTCTACCACTGAGCTAAATCCCCAACCCCTGTTGTTTCTTAAGGTGCCAGGGACCCTTCTTCCATTCAGTCAGACATCTCCTTAAGCTCCCCTGGCCTGTTAACAGTCTCTCAGACTTCCTTTTGACCTAAGTGGCCTTTGATATCACTGGTCAGACATTTTGCAGGATTCCCTCTACTGGGACTTGTCTAAAATTTATTTTGTACAATGAGACCAGGGTTCTGGACTTGGAGGAGGAAAACCACAGAGCACAGAGCCGTGCTCATTACACCCTTTCTCCAGATGGCTTCTCACAGAAATTCTACTGTGTGTGTGTGTGTGTGTGTGGTGTGCACATACTTGCACTGGGAACAGAGCCCTGGCCTTCACACTTAACAGACAATGGTTCCACACTAATCCTGCCCTGCTCCCTGTCCCCCACCTCCAGCCTCACCCACTGTTTTGAGATCTCTATTCTATCTTCCTAAACCTCTCAGAAGTTGGCCAGGTCTGTCCCATTTCCCAGATAAAAAGGCTGAGTCTTAGAACTGTGAAGTAGAGCTGGTTTCCCTCCAAGGAGGTGTTGGGCTGGCTGGCTGAGCCACACTATTGTTTGGCACTTGGCATCTTTTCAATTTTGAAGTAATTATAAACACTCCTGCTTCTGTCTTCCTTAGTGTGACTTCCTGAGGATGTGGTCCCTATGGGGGGGTGTCCCCTGGTTCAGAGGCACCAAGGGTCCTAGTCAGAAAGCCCGATAAAGAGATGGCGCCTCCTTCCGTGCAGCATCCCAGCCCCAGCTCACTAGCCTCTTTCTCAAGATGGAGTTCAGCATCTTGCTTCTTTTCTTGCTACTCGGGAGCACACTTTTTTCTCCTCCAGGTTCCCACAATGACTTGGCACCACATGTCAGTTGACAGATTGCAAAACTCAAGATTGCTTCCAAAGGACAAAGATTTAGTTTCACTGATGTTGCTTTTAAAATGGTCAGTTAAACCTTGCCCCACAAAATGAAAATCAGACAAATAAAACAAGCAAACCATGGGCTGGAGAGATGGCTCAGTGGTGAAGAGCACTGACTGCTCTTCCAGAGGACTGGGATTCAATTTCTAGCACCCACATGGGGGCTCACAACTGTCTGTAATTCTAGTTCCAGGAGATCTGACACCCTCTTCTGGTCTCCTTGGGTACCAGACATGCGTGTGGTGCACAGACACACCTGCAGGCAAAACACTCATATGTACAGAATAATAAAAAATTTAAAAACCACCCCCATCAAACTGAACTCCTTGTGTCTCAGGGCAGAGAGTACCTGAAGTGTCAGTGGCTTGGATTGGTGGTTAGTGGCCACCTCAAGAGAACAAGCCACGACTTCCCGAAGTGACCATTCTTCTGGGTACAGCGGTTACCAGGTTACATAAGCAAGGCACATTTGCTGACCTGAGACTTGGTCATGTCATTTTATGAGAGAGTTGTTCTGAGCATCACTTCAGTCCATTTCCCTGCAAGACGAGCTCATGCCAAGCTGCAGTGGCCTCATGACATTTCAGTTTGTTGGTCGGTTAATCTGCTGTGCACATGTCAAATAGGATTCGGGGTCAAGCTGCTGAGCCAGAAAGCATGTTCTAGAAGCAGCTCACCGGGCATGCTGTCCTTCCCTGGCGTGGTTGCCTTGTCAGTGTGAACCTGATTGGCATTGCAGGGTCCCTAGGTGGCCTCCTGGGACTCAGTAATGGTTCTGTCCCCCTATAATATGTTTCATGGTGGGCCTGGGCTAGCTTGCATTGGTAATGTGGCTACCTCCTTTCTCAGGTGGCTGGTGAACTATGGTTAAATGTCACCATGTTCTTGGGTAGCTAGTCTTTAAGACAGAAGGATACTGGGGTGAATGGCAGGGGCTGAGGTGAGCAGAGAAAGATTGGGCCCTGAGAATTGTGGCCCAGGCATCTCCAGAGCCTTCAGATGCCACCTCAGGGTGGTACAAAGAGAAGTGAGGCAGACAGAGCAGGAGCGCCCTTGCGGGCTGCAGCCTGGGCTCCTTTGGCTTGTGGAAGGGAGGCCCCAGCTCACTCCTCTTCCAGAGACTGGCTTCAGGCATGCCAGGGGCTCATCCTGAAATTAGCTACTGCCAGCCTGGGAGCTTGAGCCCCACTGGGGTGGGCAAGGCTCAGCCCCGCTGAGATCCTAGGGTGTCGTCTGTTAACAGATGGGGAGTGCTGGAGGGGTGTCAAACTCTCGTTGGTGACTTGGTGATATCACTACCTTTTTTTTTTTTTTTTTTTCAGATTTCAGACCTACTGAAAAACCAGCTGTAAGTGCCATCTCCAACACCCCCCACCCCCACATCCCCACCCCCCCAGCTTCTGTCATCTTGTTTAACTTCTTTCTTCACAGATCTGTGCTTTCAGGGCTGCTGGGGTCATAGGAAGACAGGAGAACTAGCCCCTTCCCTGGCACCCAGGGTTCCAGGTTGAGAAGCTAGGAGCCCAGGGCTTTGACCTGGGGCCCCATGGTAGGGTTTGGCCAGGGACAGAGAGCCCCACCTCCCAGCAACCTCCAGCTCCTGGCTCAGCCCCAGGGGATTTCCAGCAGGGATTGCAGACAGCAGTTTGGTTTGGGCCACTTTGAGGTACTAAGTCTGGTCTGGAGGGAGGCTGTGATTATTTATCTCTCTTTACTCTAGGAGGCTTGCCCTCCGAGCTGGATGACAGACACCAGCAGCAAAGGCTTGCCAAGCTAACTGCATGTATTGAGCAATTACATGCTAGGCACTCATGCTCCCTCCCCTGCCCTCTCTTCAGCCTTTCCCTGTGTAGCCCACACTGACCTTGAAATCCAGGTGTGCACCACCACCACATCTGGCTTGCTAGACACCTTTCTTTGTGCCTTCTAGAAGTTACCTCAGAGAGTCCTGACTCTCAGGAGTTGGTAGTCTTCTCATGTCTGGTTAAAGAGGAAATGGCAATCAGACAAGTTAGGGGTCACCCAGTTGGTGGCTCTATTAGAACCGCAGCCTGTACTGTGGGGCTTCAGAACTGGTGCTGGACCCGGGTCCCCTAGCAGTCTCCTTTGGGGACACTTGCATCACTTCTTACAGAGTGCTCCATATGTGCCAGGTGCAGGCCTTTGCAGGGGCTGTGCATTTGCTGAACCCTCTTTTCACAGGGTTTCTCTGTGTAGTTTTGGTGCCTGTCCTGGATCTCGCTCTGTAGATCCGCCTGGCTCTGCCTCCCGAGTGCTGGGATTAAAGGCAAGCGCCACTGCCGCCCAGCTGCTGAACCCTCTTTAAGCTTGTTCTGGAGGAGACCTGTCTGTTGTCAGGCTGCCTCGGGACATGTGATGGTGGGGTGAAGCTGAGGGGGAGGGGGGAGGGGTTCAGGATGAGGCACCTGCTTGTGGCCATGTGGTAGGTGCTTATGGCTCACACAGTTTTTGCCTTTTTTCCATTGAGCAAATTGCTTATCTCTCTTTCTCTTTCTACCCCACCCCTTTCTCTCTCTCTCTTTCATAACATCTACTTTTTTCTCAGTTTACTCTTTTTGTTTTTAATTTTAATTTTATGTGTATGAATGTTTTGCGTGCATGTATGTCTCTGTACCTGATATCCGCAGAAGTCAGAAAGGGGCATCAGATCCCCTGAAACTGGAGTTACAGATGGTTGTGAGTCACTGTGTAGGTGCTCAGAACCAAACTATGGTCCTCTGGAAGAGTGGCCAATGCTTTCAAGCACTGGGTTTTGTTTTTCCAGTTCCTTGTTTATTTTTGAGACAAGGTCTTTTTTTTTTTTTTTTAAAGATTTATTTATTTATTATGTATACAGTGTTCTGCCTACATGCATGCTTGCAGGCCAGAAGAGGGCACCAGATCTCATTACGGATGGTTGTGAGCCACCATGTGGTTGCTGGGAATTGAACTCAGGACCTCTGGAAGAACAGGCAGTGCTCTTAACCGCTGAGCCGTCTCTCCAGCCCCGAGACAAGGTCTTAATGTAGCCCAGACTGGCTGAGAATTCATTATGCAGCTGAGGATGACCTTTTCTGATCCTTCTGCTTTCACTTCCCAAGTGTGAGGATTACAGGCTTGCACCATGCCTGGCTAAAATTGGTGAGGCTTGTTTGTTTGGTTTGGTTTGGTTTGGTTTGGTTTTTCCTGTTCTGGGAATCAAATCAAAGTGCTAGGCAAATACTACAATTTTGAGCTATATCATCAGCCCTGGCATTTAAATTATCATAAAAGAATAACCGCCAGGCAGTGGTGGCGCACGCCTTTAGTCCCAGCACTCGGGAGGCAGAGGCAGGCGGATCTCTGTGAGTTCGAGGCCAGCCTGGGCTACCAAGTGAGTTCCAGGAAAGGCGCAAAGCTACACAGAGACCCCCTGTCTCGAAAAACCAAAAAAAAAAAAAAAAGAATAACCAAGATTACATAGCTCTGCTCTTTTTTTTCTTTTTTAATTTATCTTTATTTTATGTACAATAGTGTGAGGATGTCAGATGCCTTGGAACTGGAGTTAGAGACAGTTGTGAGCTGCCATGTGGGTGCTGGGAATTGAACTGGGGTCCTCTGGAAGAGCAGCGAGTGCTCTTAACCTCTGAGCCAGCCCTCCAGCCCCAGCTCTGTTCTTTGAATCCCTCAACCTGGGTCCTTTTGAAGACTGAAGGTGAATGTCACACACCAGGTGTCTCATTTCCCTTTGTTCTGAACTCGTAAACTTGAGAAACCAACACATTTCTAAAGATGTGCTTTTTTTTTTTTTTTTAACTTACTGTCTGTATGGCCCTGGGTGAGTTAGTTATCCCACTCCCCCAGGCCTCAGTTTCTCCATCTGTAAGAGATGCATGTGCTAACATTACAGCTGTGCGGGGTGGTTGTGAGGGTGGCACATCATCACTCTTAGAAGCTGAGTGTGTGAGTCACTGACTGCTGCTCAGTGTAGAGTGAGTTGAGGATGTGGCTCAGTGTGGGGCTGAGTGCTTGCCTAGTAAGCACAAAACCCAAAGCTGGCCCTACATAGACTGGGCGTGGTAGCACCTCTACCCCCACTCCCCCTAATATCAGTGTTGGGGAGATGAAGGCAGGAGGATCAAAAGTTCAAGGTCATCTGCAGCTGTATAGCAAGTTTGAGGCCAGCCTGGGGAGACTACGGGGACTGTCACACAAAGACAAAGCAATAGCCGGGCGCCTACCTTTAATCCCATCACTTGAGAAGCAGATGGGTCCCCGTGAGTTCATGGGCCAGCCTGGTTTATATGTTAAGTTCTAGGTCAGCCATAGCTACATGATAGTGAGACACTATCTCAATTAAAAAACAAAACCATGAAAAAAAAAAAACCCTGGACATTCTTGAGAATGCCACACACAGGTGCCTCATGCTGCCATGTGGCTTGAGGCAGCTTTAAAGCTCCCTGGCAGTTTGGTGGCGTTGGGGGAACCCTGCCTCAGCTCTTACTCCTGTTCACAGCAGCTGAAGAGAAGTGAGTCAGTGACAGATCCCATCACAGGACACAAGTCGAGCCCAGTGAACCCTCCAGCTGTGGAGACTTGTACCAATGTTGGGGCGGCCTGCCTGGAGAGCCTGCCACTGCTGGATGAAAGCACAGCTGGGAATCCTTTGACCCCCAGGGAACCTCCAGAGCCCCGAGTATCCACAGAACACACGAATAACAGGATTGGTGAGTCCTTCTGTTGGGAGGTCCTGGTCTAATCAAGTGTGCGGAAGGGAGATGGGTGCTGAGCTATGGATGGGGCTGGGGGAGGTATCCATTCCTCGCCCCCGCTTACTCTGCCCCAGGTCAAGCTTCTGTCCAGGAAGAATGACAGGAGTGTCACTTCATGGGGACTACTGGGGACATTCACTAAGTGACATTCCCTGAGTGAGTGCAGTGTTTGTCATTATTAAAGAGAAAGAGAATCCTTCCCCACTAGCCTAACACAGAGCCTGAAGGGAGGGAAGGAAGGGAAGCAGGCTGGTGACGTCAGACACTTAACTGGCAACATCTCTTCATGTCTGTCACATATTTCTGGGAATGATGACTTTACTCCTATATCATGGCTGGGGCAACTGAGGCTTGGGGTAGGGGTGTGGAGTGAGTTTTCTTGTTGAATTGCTGAGTCACATCTGATGGGGCCCAAAGCACTGGTTTGGCCATACCACCCATGGGTCTCAGCAGGAGCCCAGAGACCAGCCCTTATTCTCCAGCATCTCCATCCCTACTGCCCTCCGGCCAGGACAAACATCTGCTATGGCTCCTATGGGCCCTGCCTCCTTCCTCACTTCCTACCACCCCAGAACACATCAGTGGTTCTCAACCTGTGGGTTGTGACCCTTTTAGCAAACCTCTATCTCCAAAACTTATTTACATTATGATTTATAACCGTAGCAAAATTACAGTTATGAAGTAGCAATGAAAATAATTTTACAATTGGGGGTCACCACAACATGAGGAACTATATTAAAGGGTCACAGCATTAGGGAGGTTGAGAACCCCTGATATATATTGTCCTCACCATCTCAGGATAGAGTACTCAATTCTCACTCTGGCATTCAAGGCTGGTCTTAGCCCTGTGCTCCATCACACCCAACACATCCGCTCTCCCTCTTAGGAGTGGTTTTCTGATTTTCAGCTCTCTCTCTCTCCCTCTCTCCCTCCCTCCCTCTCACCCTTAGCAGCTCTGCAGGGCTGTTTCCTCACCCACAGCAGGCAGCTCCCCTCCTCTGAGCTCCCCTCCTGTCCTGGAGGTGGCCTTCTCACTGTCTTCCCTGAACAAGCCAATGGGCTCTGCTGAGCTTCTCCACCCAGTGTCCCAGCCCCCAGCTCTCCAGGGCAGATGCTCCCTGGGCCCTGTCACCTTCTCTATGGTGTTGCTGGAAGGGCATTGGTGAGGGCTCTTCACATGTCCATGGCCGTCTGTGGAGGTGAGAGCGCTCAGCTGTCATTGTTTCAAAGAAATGTTTGCTGTGGCAGCTTTCGGTAACTCTATTTGAAAAGAATGTGTTTGAGAAAACACTGGTAACTTCTACTTGAAAAGAATGTGTTTGAGAAAACACTGGTAACTTCTCTTTGAAAAGAATGTGTTTGAGAAAACACTGCCAAAGATTTTCGGTTTCCCAAGAAGTCCTTCTGGTGTTTGAGTCCAAGATGACCGAAGGGCTTGGAACTTGGAGACAGGGCCAGAGCCTGTGCAGGGAGGGAGGTGGCGAGGGCTGGGGGTGGGGGTGGGGCTGCTGAGGGAAGGTCTTGGAGATCCTCTAGGACACCAGGACCCAAGTGACCCTTTGTCCTCTTGGTGACACACCAGAAGTGCAGCCTCCCCATTCAGTTCCCAACAAGGACAAAGGGGTTTAAACCTTTTTCTCTGACTGTGCCCCCTCTGCCTCTCCTTTCCTTCACCTGACTAGGACACTTCCCCTGGAGCTGGGATCTGAGCAGCTGGGGGTGGACAGCGTGTGATGGGTGGAGCCAGAGGCTCAGGACCCATAGACAGGAGAGGGCAAGAGCCTGTGTCTAGTCTTGCCTTCCTCTGCTCTCCCAGCACCTCTCTCCCTCCATTACTTTCCAATGCCTCTTCTCTCTCTTAAATATTTATTTATTCATTTATGTGTGTGTGTGTGTGTACATACATGTGCGTACGTGTGTGTACCCATGTGTCACAGTGTGCATGTAGATGTCGGACGACAGCTTGCATGTGTCCGTTCGCTCCTTCTACCATGTGGGGCTCAGGGATCGAACTCAGGTCTTGGTTTGGCAGCAACTACTTTTATCTGCTGAGCCATCTTGAAATACCTCCATCTCTCATCTATATAATTTTATTTATTTATTTTGTATGTGTGCCACGGCATGAGTTTGGAGGTCAGAGAACGACTTTTGGGAGTCACTACTCTACTTCAACCTTGTGAGTCCTGGGGATTGAGCGCCGGTTGTTGGTCTGGTGTTGGGCAGGCACCCTGTGCTCCACCCCTCATCTCTCTGGCCCCTCATCTCTCCGTCGTGTGCTCCCCTGGCCTCTTCTCAGGCCAACCCAGCACCTGACCTAGGGTCCCGTCTGTCTTTTTTAGTACCAGAGATTGAACCTGGTGCCTTCTTCATGCCAGGGGAGTGCCCTACTACTGAACTATATCCCACCCGTCTTGGTTTATTTTCATTTTAAATTTAAAAATTGTGTGTGTGTGTGTGTGTGTGTGTGTGTGTGTGTGTGTGTGTGTGTGTCCCTGTCCGTCCATCCATCCGTCCAGAAGCCAGAGGTTGACATTGGTTGTCTTGATCGCACTCCACCTTACGTCTTCCAGCATGGTCTTTCACTGGAACCGAGAACTCACTGGTGCCATCAGCCCAGCTAGCCAGCTTGCTCAGGGATCCCGTCTCTGCCTCCCACATGTTGCTCCAGGCTGCTGCCACACCCACCCAAGCGTTACATGGATGCTGGGGATCTGAACGATTGTCTTCAGGCTTGTATGACCAGTCCCAAACTGCGAGGCTACCTCCCTGACCTTTGTCTGTTTTCTGGATTTGTCTGGTTTTTTGTTTTTTTGGTTTTTTTTTTGTTTTTTTTTTAAAGACAGGGTCTCATGTAGCCCAGGCTAACCTTGAACTTGCTTTGCACCCAAGAATGACCTTGGACTTCTGATCCTCAGGCCTCAGCCAATTGCTGCTGTTCCAAGCTTGCAGTTCTGCACATGCCCCCAGCTCCCTTTTTACTTTTTTCCTTGAGACAGAATCCGAGTTTCCCAGGCTGGCCTTGAACCCACTCTCTTTGTAGCCCAAGCTGGCCTTGAACTTGCTGGCTTCCTGCCTCAGCTTCCCCAGATTTATAGCCTGGCTCCCATCTTTGGCCAGCCCCTCAGCTGAGGGTTCCATCAAGCCTGGATAGAGGATGTGGGGTGCGGGCTGAGGCCCGCTCTTGCTATGGGACCCATGGGACACACAGTTGGTGTCTTTCTCGTGCCCTTCCCTCCACTTCTTGTTGTTTCCTCTACTTCTCTCTTTCCTGGGTGTATGAGAAACCAACATAGAAGAGCTGCCGTGGTGCAATGCTCTCAGGCATGCCTGGGCAGCTGGGAGACTCTGGGCTTCCTGAATCGGAGGGTGTAACCCGGAGGCAGGGGTCTGTGTGCCCCCTGCCTCCACCCACCCCCACTCTTAAGTTCCTTTTTGAGCTTCCCCATTCCATCCGCACAGTCCATTGCAGGATGGGGCAGGGGGTGGGGTGCAGCCCCTGGCTGAAGCCATAGATGCCATGCCCAGTGGGCAGAGTCAGCTGCCTCTGTGAATCCAGACTTCTTCTGCTTCCCAGTGCAAAAGGCTTTGTTTCCCCAAGACTCCCCCCATGGAAAGGCCATTCCAGCAACTCCTCTGTATCAGCCTGTGCTCAGGACTGTAGCATGCCCTAGTGCTGGGGACTGGGTTCTCCATCCCTGACACTCATCATCCACCCTGCTGGCTGGCAGTGAGGCTCAGGAACTGGTCCACAGAAACACGGAGCCCCCGGCCACTGTTGCATATTATCAGGGCCCAGGCTTCTGAAGGGCATGGCCAACCAGCCAAGTTTGCCTGGATTGATGAGGCTCCTGGGACATGGGACCATCAGTCCCAGGCGAACCAGGTCACATTGGTCACCCAGGGTGTTTTAGGCATGTGGATGAAAGTGGAAAGGGTAGCCAGGTGGCTGGATGTTCCTTTGGAGATGTCTCCTAACCTTATTTGCTGACCTTGGGGAGGCCTCAGGTTCTTAAAGAAGCCATGCTGTGGATTAGATTAATGGTGGTGGTGGTGGTGAAGGGCAGTTCATGGGAATGATGGGCCTCAGAGCTGGCACTTGAGAAGAGCCAGGGACATGTGTGGCTCTTCTGTGTCTCCTAGTGTTCTTTTTCTCCTGGCCTCCTTCACTGCTTATTTCCTGGACTGATTGCGTTCTTTCTCTGCCCATCTCTGATGACATGCCTAGGAAGTCATGGGTGGCCCCCCCAAACCTCTCCGTGCAGGAGAGGTGGCTTTATCTCTCTGAAGTCACCCAGCAGGTGAGGTGAAAGTGGGCTGAGGCTCTGGTCTGGCTTCCCTCATCCATCCTCTTGCTTTACAGAGAAAATCTACATCATGAAGGCTGACACAGTGATTGTGGGCTCTGTGAAGACCGAAGTCCCTGAAGGCCGGGCTCCAGCAGGAGCGACCGAACCTGAGTTAGAAGCTGAATTGGAAGTGGACCATGCCCCTCACTACCCGGAGCAGGAGACGGAACCACCTCTGGGCAGCTGCACTGAGGTCATGTTCTCAGTAGAAGAAGGAGGGAAAGAGGACCACCGGCCCACGACTGTATCCGAGAAGTGACAGCCAGTATTAGCTGGGCTAGAGAGCAGCTGAGTGTACCCTGAGGACCAGGTTGGCTCCAAGCTGGGAACCTATTGTGGCCTGAACTAAAGCCCCAGCATCCAGTGGGATAGCCCAGAATGAAGCCTTCAGCTGCTACCAAGAACACTGGCTCCTGTGCCCCAGGAGTGGGCACTCACTGTCAGGCTAGTGTCTGCTAAGGGAGAAGAAGCCAGGGGCTGGTTTCAAGCCTCCTTGCCCACATCCTTGTGCCCTGCCTTCTCTCCCTGGGTCTTAAGGGATGGCTTTACTGGCATGCTACCAGCCTCCAGTTGCTGTACACACAGCTCCCTGCGGGCACAGAACCAGCACCTATTGCCCCTACTCCTGAGGCAAAGGGAAGTTAAAGGACAAACACTCGTCACCACTGGCACCGTGACAGCCTGCACCCATCACACAAGACTGCACCACAGCGAGTGCACAGTGAGACTCTCTTGGCCCAGCTTCCCTGTTCTGAAGCCTACAAAATGGACTAGATGCAACTTATTGTCCTCGGATGACCCTACCATGCAGCCTTTTGGGACTCAGATGTCTTTGGACCCCCAAGCAGCTGCAGTGACCTCCCTTCCCCACCCACCGTTGCTAGAGGCTCTGCTTTGCCCAGGGACTTCCTGTCACATGGAGATGGGAGCACTGCCGTCCTGGGGGTCCTCCACTCTCTGTGCCACCCTCGATTCCACCCTAGAAATGAAGAAGCATTGTCCTTAAGCCACCAGGATCAGGCCTGGCATCTAGCTTCCCTGCTCTAGCAGGTTGGAGCCTGGATGTTGGAGGCAGCCTGATCACATTGCTCGTTGTACTCTGTACCCATTGTGAGGAGGCAACGCTGGTGGACCTGCCTGGAGCTCTGCTCTTAGATGTTTGTTTGTTTGTTTGTTTTAATTTCTTTTGAGGAGCTGGGAATTGAACCCATGGCCTTGTGCATTCCAGGCAAATGTCGCAGGGCTGATTTATATCCTCAACCCCAGCATTTCACACTAAGCACCGAAGCTGCTGTGACTCCCAGCCTGGCTCACTCCCAGGGACCTGCAGCCTCTTGTAACAAACACGCAGCTGACTGGATGACACGTCTACCGGTCTGTGGCAGCCTGGGGACTCTGGACTTACCCTTGGGCCAGGCAGGGAGAGTTCTGTTTACTCACCAGCTGCTCACTTCTGGAGGAAGCTGGGGCTCTGTGAGGAATCACGAGGGGAGTTTCTGAAACTGCCTGGATCTTTGGGGGAAAGTTGGAGCAGCTGGGTGCCACCAGGGTGCCATCAGAGGCCTTATACCAGGGTCTGGATACTGGCCAGAAGGGATGCGTGTGGGGGCTGGATAGTTGCCCAGTTGCCTTGTGCAAGTACACAGTGGGTGTGTGGGCGTACACAGTGACCCTAAAGCTATGTCATGATGACCACATGGATGCCACACTCCTGAGTGGAAGATACTGTTAAACTTTCTCTCTCTCTCTCTCTCTCTCTCTCTCTCTCTCTCTCTCCCTCCCTCCCTCCCTCCCTCCCTCCCTCCCTCCCTCCCTCTCTCTCTCTCTCTCTCTCTCTCTCTCTCTCTCTCTCTCTCTTTGAGATAGGATCTTTTTCTGTATTCTAGGCTAGACTCAAACTCGATCTGTAGCCCAGGCTGACCCTGATCTTTGATCCTCCTACGTTTGCTTCCTGAGTGATTTCAGGCTTGAGCCACCACGCCAGACTGCCACACACTTCAACAAAGGGGCATATTCCTTTGCAAAGTGACCCTTCACACAATTTTTGACCCGCGAAATATCCGGAAGGTCCTGCAAAACTGTGGAAGTGTGAGGCTGCAGACTGATTACAGAAACAAGTGATGAGGGAGCGCTGAGCACAGGCTGGCAGCTGACCCTCTAACCCCAGAGGGGACACTCTCCATGTGCATAGGCACTCACAGCTAAGGACAGGAGCCTGTGACCAGCTGTGTGCCCTTAACTCTTGCCTTGTCCATCCAGGCAGTGTCTTCCTGATAAAGGCTTGTCCTCTGAGGATGCTGAGAATAAACGGTCTCTGCTCACAAGGCTCCCTTTGGTGTTTGTCGGAAGAATCCTGGGCCTCCCTAGGACTTTTTTCCTACAGGCAGGTTTGGGCCACACAGCTTTGGAAGAGGGCAAACTCATGTTGCTGGCAGAGCCGGGGTGGGGGGGTTGGGGGGTTGGGGGGTTGGGGGATTCCTGTGGAACCCAGGGCTTCTATGGCTGAGCAGGAGAGGCCCTGCCACCCTTCACACACAGCAGGGCAGAGCTCCAGCTACAGGCAATTAGCCCAGAGTCTCTCCTCGCTGGCTCCTGTCTATCTGTTCCTAGGACTGTCACCCACACCTGTGCCTCACCTCAGCCTGACATTGAACCAGCTGCTGCTTGGCCAGGTAGTCAGGCCAGGAGCCAGAGCTCTCCTGATGGGGCCTTCCGAAGTTCTGTCTGTTCTGATGTCCAGGATAGTGAAGAGACGGGCGCTTGTTCTCAGGGGGCAGCCCTGTGTGGTGAGGGACTCCGCCCCCACCTCTTTCTGAAAGTTGTCTGCAGTTGGTAAGTGCTCAGTCCTTGGATGCTGTTGCTTCCTGAGGCAGTCCTGTAGAATCTCCAAGACCTGGCACCAGTCCCTGTGATGGGACAAGGGGGCTATGTCCCCCGAACTTCTCCCTCTCCCTCTTGTCCTTCCTTCCCAACTGTGAGTATGCAAGGACTGGTTCTTGGTCATCTTCACAGGGCAGTATTGCACTGAACTGAGTAGACCTGAGAGGGTACAAGTAGAGGGGCAGTCCCCAGCTGCAATTCTCCATGGGTCTCCTCTTGCGCCTAGGGAACTGGTGCTCAGACTCAGGTTCAAATCCCAGCTCTCCCACTGACCAGCCAGGGAGCTTGCTTGATGACTTGAAGGCTATCATCATCTGTTACTATGACACAACACTTGAGACTGGGAAATTTATTAAGAAAGAAGGTTTATTCTGGCTCATGGTCCTGGCAGGTAGGAAACCCACCCTGGGCAGCCTCATCTAAAGAGGCTCTCACATTGACTCAACTGTGGAGCGGAAATCAGGACAAGTAGGTAAAACGGGGGTTAACCTGTTCTCATGGTTAACCCACTTCCAGTCCTCAGACAGTGTGGACTCACTCCTGAGTATTGGTGAAATTATTAAGGCCACTTCACGTAGTTAAAAGGAGATTTATTTAATGGTGTAACTTACAAATTAAGGGATAGGTAGGTTGCGGGGTCTGGGGAAGGTGTATCACTGTCCAGCGGTGTTCTCTGGAGCTCTGCTTGGCCCACCTCCACTGTCCAGGGTCCCGGAACAGAGAGAGTGCCGGCCGATGCAGATCTCGGGACTCCAGGCGCCTCCCTTGGCCCCGCCTTGTAGGTATGACAGTTGCCAAAGTCTCAATGGGGGTTGGAACTTCCAGATCAAAGCTGGAATGGCTACCCACTACACCTGAGGGACCCACAGTCTTATGGACTGTGAGTGCCCTTCGTGACCCAGCACTCCTAGGGTCCCTGCCTCCTACTCTTGCTACAATGGTGGTTGAATCTCAGCATGGCCCTCCGAGGGGCCTCACCATGCTCACCCCACAGCTCTATTTCCTCATCTGTGAAATGGGTATTGGTCTCAGCCTGAGAGTACAGTGGAGCTTCCCAGGGGTGTCACTTATGACTAGTGACTTGGGTTTTTATTCCACCCCAGTGGCCATTTGTCCAGAGTGAGCTCTTATTGTGCTATTAGGCTTTCTCCCTCTTATGAGAGGGTCTCTTCTCAGAGGGCATTAGACTGGACACATATGTTTCAGAAAAATAAGTGTTCATAGTGATGGTTGGTTCCAAGGCTGGTGCTCCAAACCCTACTTTTGGACTAGCCTGATACTAGTCGAGTTGCCCCCACAATGGACAGGTTACTTCTTGCTGTCTGAGGTGCCTTGGGAACCCTTCACTTGAGTCAGGACTCGCTATGTGCTAGACATCTAAAACTCTGGGTGTATTTTTGAGGTCCCTCATGGTTCTAGTGTCTTCCAGATCACACTGTTCAAGGTATTTTCTTCATAGTGGCCCCCTCCCCAAAGCACCCAATCTGAGCCAGGCCCAGGCTAGCAAAGAGTCCCTGGCACATGGCTTTCCTCCCAGGGATCCTGTGTCCAGTAGTGGCTCAGGACCCAGTCTGTGATGTGATGGCGAATGCCTTTTATTCCCAGGTGGATCTCTGTGAGGTAAAATCCAACCTGGTGTACATAGTCAATCAATTTCTGGGCAATCAGGGCTACATATAGAGACCCTGTCTCAAAAAAAAAAAAAAAAAAGTCCAGTCTGTGAATTAGCCTGATCTGGGCTCTGGGACAGAGTGTCTACAAGGAAGAGGTTGGGGACAGCTTCCCTGGAGAAATGCCCCCCTGGCTCCAACTGAGTGAAATAAGCCAGCAAGCCTCAGAAGGCAAGACTAGCCTGTGAAAAAGCCCTGAGGTGGAAAAGCTGCTGGACTTGAGATTCAGGAAGAATATAGCCTAGAGGAAGCCTGGGGTGGGGGAGAGAAAGGTGGGGAAGCCCGGGGTGGGGGAGAGAAAGGTGCGGAGAGAGAAGTCTGCCCAAGGAGGCCTGGTGAGCCATCACAAGGCACTGAGATCTTATCAAAAGAATACCATTCCAGGCTTAGTTTTATTGTCTTGTAAGTACAATTAACATTTCAGAGTGAGTAACAAAAGCCAAACCACAGGGCATCAAAAGTCCCAAGAGCAGATTTCAGGAAAAGCTAGGGATGCTGGGAACAGGAAGCAGTTGAGCCGGCACCCAGACAACACTCCTAGGTACTGCTGGGGAGACACAGGAGGAGGGAGCTGGGGAATCAGGTCCCTCTTTCTTCTGGTGTCTTCCAAACATGGCTGGAGAAGTCTAGGGAAGTCCTCAGGTCCCTGGGCACAACTCCTGTCATCTGAGCATCACGGGAGTTATCAGTGGCCCTATCGAGGTCTGGGGACACTTTGCCATGGATGGAGATAGCAGAGGTTGTGGCTATGGGCAAGACAGGCCTCCGGGTTCAGGCTCAGGCTCAGCCGATTCCCAGCCACACAGTCTCACTCCTGCACCTAGCTTCCTGATTGACAGAGTGGACTGACTTCTCACCTGGCAAAAGGCTGAGAGGTGATGGGGATGAAGCCTCTAGCTCAACTGGCCGTCTTCACGGTCACTACCTTTTAAGAGCCTTTGACTTCCCCAAGCCCTTCTGCAGTCTGTGTCCATGCTTCCTATGAACAGCCCTGAATGCTAAGCTGGGCTCTGGGTCCTGGCTCACCAGCCCACAGCTGGAATGTTCCAGGTTGGGGTCCATCCTCTCAACCTCTCACCTCCTGACTCCAGTTCCCGCCCTGCATCCAGGTGGCCTGGCTGTCTCTGTGGTGAGGGGTAAATGTTGATGCTGTGGACGTTATAAGCCGGCTTGAGGCAAGTTTCAGCCGTGAGTCACTACCTCCATGTCATGTGAACAGCCTTCACCACACGCTCCCCTGCCTTGATGGACTGAAACCCTGTGAGACCACAAGCCAAAAATCCGTCTTTCCTCCTTTACATTGTTTCAGTGATTGTGGTCACAGTGCTGTGGGAATTAAGAAGGAGGTGGATTTGGCAGTGTGTGTGTGTGTGTGTGTGTGTGTGTGTGTGTCTGTGTGTGTGTGTGTGTGTCTGTGTGTCTGTGTGTTGCACATGGAGGCCAGGGGAAGAAGTCAGGGTCCTTCTCTGTCTCTTTTTATCTTACTCCCTGGAGACAGGGACTCGCACTGAGTCTGGAACTAGGCTGGCAACTAGCAAGCCCCAGTGAGCCTCCTGTCTCCACCCCCACAGCTCTGGGTTATAGGTGTTTATAGCCACATCCTGCTTTTTACATGGGTGCCGGGGATTCGAACCCAGCCAGGTCCTAAGGCTTGTTTACCAAGTATTCTGTCTTAGGGTTTCTACTGCTGCAGTGAAATACCATGCTCAAAAACAAGTCTGGGAGGAAAATGTCTACTCGTCTTACGCTTCCACGCTGTAGTCCATCATTGAAGGAAGCCAGGACAGGGACTCAGACAGGGCAGGGACCTGGAGGCAGGAGCTGATGTGGAGGCCATGGAGGGGTGATGCTTCCTGGCCTGCTCCACATGGCTTGCTCAGCTGCTTTATTACAGAACCCAGGACCACCAGCCCAGGATGGCACCGCTCACAATGGGCTGGACCCTCCCCCATCCATCACTAATTTAGAAAATGCTCTACAGGCTTGCCTACAGCCTGATCTTAATGGAGGCATTTTCTCAGTTGGGGTTCCCTCCCCTCAGATGACTCTAGCCTGTGTCAAGTTGACATAAACTATCCAGCTCACACTCTTACACACTGAGTCATCGCCCCAGCCGGTGGATTCCTTCTTTAGGGACAGACAGGGATGGCATCAAGAGGCCGGGTCAGCTGTAGTTTTTCCTTTTGTTTTGTTTTTCTGATCTCTCTGGCTAGGCACTGAGGAC